CAGACGTCAGTGGGACCCCAGAGACATTAGAGGTGTACAGGGCCCGGTGTCCCCCGGGGTGCGGAACGGGGACCACAAGCTGAGCGTACAGTGATGGGGGCGGGATTAACGGTGACACACTCAGCTGAGCAGATTGGTTCCGGGGTAGGAAGAAACCGGAAGCTGCCGCATGGAAAGGAGATGGGCGGAGAGGTCACCTGACAGGGCGGAGCATCACAGTGTCAAGGCATATGGTGACAGAACCACGTGTGTGTGATGGAAGGGATGTTCTGCAGATTACATATTCTGCAGGGGGGAGGGAAGGCAGCAAATGTGTGGATATGATGACAGCCAACACATAATCGGAGAGCTGTCCCATAATAAGTCCAATAGAAACTCAATACAATGTATCATTCCAGAAAATGGTTACAAGTACATGATAAGGACAGGGCCGTCATTAATATCGATTGGACCCTGGGCAAACATTTTTTGGGGCTTTCCCCCGCCCCTACCCACCATGCCCTGGCCCATACCATGCGACAGGAGCAGATAGGAGAAGACAGCTCAAAGGGAGACGTGACCCCAAGTAAGAGGTGACCCCGCATGAGACATCACAAGGTCACACAGCGTACGGCAGGGGCAGAACAACAGTATGCGATGCGGATTGCATATTAAACAGGACGGTACCCATGTGTATCTTTCGCTGGCTGCTTTGGGCCCCACAGCAATGACTGGGCCCGGGGCAACTGCCCCTTTTGCCCTGCGTTAAAGACGGTCCTGGATAAGGATAATGTGAGGGGTGCAGAGAGGAACAATTCAGAATTTAGGGTTCGTGTGTATTAGTGTGCTGCCTTTGCCGCACGTCCCCATTGAGGGTCCTGAACACGCTAAACACGTGAGCAAAAATCGACATGCGTTCCGCAATTTTGGCTTGTGTGTTTGTGCGCATCTTCATGACCTGGCCGCGTTTGGGGTACCATTAGAAATTAATGTCGATTCAAGCGCGTTTCTGTCAACACACACCAAAGCGGGGGAGGTTGTTTGGGTGTTGCAGCAGAGCCTGGGAAGCAAGGTGCGGGGACGACACCCTCTTCCTCAGCCCCCGGGAGCCGTCTGGCGGAAGCTTACCCACCATAATCGCTTCCAGTGCTGACCAGCTCCCTATGTGATAGCAAAGAGGAAGTGACAGGTCCTCTTTATGGAGACATCAGGGGTCTATTAGCCCCCTAATGTCACTTCTGGACTTCAAAGGAGCTGATTGCGCTTTATTAGCTTCTTCTTCTCCGGCCACAGCAGCCAAAGAAATGACTGAAAATGGAAGCTATGGAATGCACGTCCGTTCTGGTTTCAGTGATCGGAGGGGGAGATCAGCCGCTGGAAGAGAGTCATCCAAATGATATATGTATAGACCAGGGACGCGCGGGCAGGGGGGGCGGAGCCTCACCTAGAATTATGGAGGAAAAAGCTGTCAGCTTCAAGTCTGAAGCCGCCAATGTTTTCTTCATTCAGATCCTCCGCCGCTGTGTAACCTGTCGTGGACAGAGCGCTGCTTCGTCTGGCAGGGGGAGGGGTTTTAGTGCGGCAGGGCTTCATCCGGCAGGGGGCGGGGCTCCGGTCGGCGTGGCGGGACGTGCTTGGGGAATGCCTCACCTGGAACAAGAGGTACGGCACGTCACTGGTATAGACCAATGAGGAGTGCATGGCAAAGCTTGCCCCTCTGAGGAAGTCCTGGTGGTATGCAGCTGATCCCTGTCACGCGACCTTTGATCCCAACCCGTCTTATCCCGCTTGGTGCCTTGTATGGACTATATAGAGAAGGTTGCGAGGAGTGGAAACCAATGGCCATAAGGTAAGCACTGCACGTGTGACGCTCTCCATGTGTATATGGACTGTGCCGATCCGATGCCATGCAACTTGTGCAGCCGGGGAATTCCCTTCCTGCAGCTGCACATGAGCAAAGCGGCAGGATGCGGTGATGTCACTGAATATATACGGCCACATGGGCTATAATTGGTCTATGATATCCCCGCCCCTTTGTTTATGGGAATGCCCCGGAACACAGCTGATTGTGTGGAAGGCCCCATGTCCCTTCTGGGTTCATAGGAATTCTGGTAGGGGCCTAACCCGAACATATCCCTAGTTAAGAATAGTCCACCGGTCAGGATGAGTGTCGTGATGTCATCACACAGTCCCCGTGGTAGAGCGCCCTATCAGTGATAACACATGTCCTAGTGTCGTGATGTCATCACACAGTCCCTGTGGTAGAGCGCCCTATCAGTGATAACACATGTCCTAGTGCCGTGATGTCATCACATAGTCCCCGTGGTAGAGCGCCCTATCAGTGATAACACATGTCCTAGTGTCGTGATGTCATCACACAGTCCCTGTGGTAGAGCGCCCTATCAGTGATAACACATGTCCTAGTGTCGTGATGTCATCACACAGTCCCCGTGGTAGAGCGTCCTATCAGTGATAACACATGTCCGAGTGTCGTGATGTCATCACACAGTCCCCGTGGTAGAGCGTCCTATCAGTGATAACACATGTCCGAGTGTCGTGATGTCATCACACAGTGCCCGTGGTAGAGCGCCCTATCAGTGATAACACATGTCCGAGTGTCGTGATGTCATCACATAGTCCCCGTGGGACTATGTCAATGCATTGAGTTGCTGCCATGTGATTGGCTGATTAGATATTTGTGTTAACGAGCAGTTGAAGGGTGTACCTAATAAAGCGGCCGGTGATTGTGTATGTAGACATTGTGTTTATTTAAGGGAAATGTGGGTTTGGTATGTTGTAGGAGGAGGCGGAGCCTTATCTGAATATTGGGGATGCACAGCTTTTCCATGTTACATATAGGAGCGTTTCGCTCTTACCCAGTACATTGCCTCCACTAGGCCATTTGTAGGCCGGGAATAAATGAACCAATCACATGGTGGGAAGTTTCTGAGTCCTACAGAAGTGTCAGAACTAGTTCACAGGGGACATTGAGGCTACATGGAGGATGAAGAGCCCTGAGGAGGAGCATCCAGCTCCTTTGTACATCGGCTCCATCTGCTCTTCCGGACGGTGTGTCCTCGGGGACAGATAGAAACAAGGCCGAAGCCTCAGCTTAGTCCTTCTCACTTTAACATGGCGAGCTCTTATGAAGATTGAGCTACTGGACTGCGTATACCTCATCTTACTTCTTCCCAAAAAAAAAAAAAGTACAATTAAGCTCCACCCCCAATCTTTACAAACTCCGCCTCAGTTTGACGCTTTGTAAAAAGAACCTTTTAAATCTGGCAATTCCGGAACTAAAAACAAAACGTGATCCGGTAAGATTGGGACAGCGAGGAGGCTTCATACATCACAGATGCCAGCATGGCGCCATTGCCGTCTCTGTCCCCGGCCTGGTGAATTTCCAAGGAAGTAGTAATAGCCAAAAACCACTAGATGGAGCATGCGCACACTTGCGGGCAGTTATAAACTTACACCACTAGGTGGCGCACATGTGTAGACGATCCCGTACATACCTGGCCTGGACGCAGGAAGGATTTGAGATAGTGACACAACCACAGAGCCCTTCCATGGAGAAGAAAGTGACCAATGCAGACGGTGTAACAGTGCTTCAGCGGAGGGAAATGAGTGCGCGCCTCTTCTTATTGCCCCCTCGGCCATCGCGGGGTCACCTAACCCTATACCAAAGTCTGACATGTTACTCATAGGTATGTCACCTGATTTATTTTAAAGGCTCAGTCCGGTTAGGGGCATTTCAGGTATAGGTGGAGTACGGTAGAAGACGTTCAGGTCTCCGGATGGAGGACGTTCAGATCTCCGGATGGAGGACGTTCAGATCTCCGGATGGAGGACGTTCAGATCTCCGGATGGAGGACGTTCAGATCTCCGGATGGAGGACGTTCAGGTCTCCGGATGGAGGACGTTCAGGTCTCCGGATGGAGGACGTTCAGGTCTCCGGATGGAGGACGTTCAGGTCTCCGGATGGAGGACGTTCAGGTCTCCGGATGGAGGACGTTCAGGTCTCCGGATGGAGGACGTTCAGGTCTCCGGATGGAGGACGTTCAGGTCTCCGGATGGAGGACGTTCAGGTCTCCGGATGGAGGACGTTCAGATCTCCGGATGGAGGACGTTCAGATCTCCGGATGGAGGACGTTCAGGTCTCTGGATGGAGGACGTTCCGATCTCCGGATGGAGGACGTTCAGATCTCCGGATGGAGGACATTCCGGTCTCTGGATGGAGGACGTTCAGGTCTCCGGATGGAGGACGTTCAGGTCTCCGGATGGAGGACGTTCCGATCTCCGGATGGAGGACGTTCAGGTCTCCGGATGGAGGACGTTCCGATCTCCGGATGGAGGACGTTACGGTCTCCGGATGGAGGACGTTCAGGTCTCCGGATGGAGGACGTTCAGGTCTCCGGATGGAGGACGTTCAGGTCTCCGGATGGAGGACGTTCAGGTCTCCGGATGGAGGACGTTCAGGTCTCCGGATGGAGGACGTTCAG